AAAAATTATAAATCACAGAACACCACTGCTTTCATGATTTCATGTGGGAGGTTTCTATGTCTTTGTGCATTTATGAGTAGTGAGTGACAATCCCACTCACTGCCTCAGCACAATTTCTCCTCAATCATGATTTGTCTGCTAGTCATCTAGTAGTGAATCAGGAGAGATTTGGGTGAGAATTGGCCCTTTGAATTTTGCTTACAAAACATCTCGTATCACATTCGTAAGGTTCTTTTACATGCTGTAAATCTACAACATGGGATCGCCAACTTTATTTCCCCTCTGAAAGAGTTTGTGCTACAGATTTTTATCATTCTTAAAAATCCACTGACCTCGGCTGGGTTTGAACCCGCGAACCTTGGGTCTAGCGGTGAGCATGCTAACTACTAATCCACCTTGGGTCTAGCGGTGAGCATGCTAACCACTAATCCCCCAAGGGTAAAAAAAAACAGAACTTCAATGATAAATGCCTACCTCAGATTCACCTTACCACTGCCAATAATATAAAATAATTTTGTATTTTTATGTAATTACAGTATTTATACTTATATACCACACTCATTTTTCGAATGTAAAATTAAAGATACCAAATATTCCTGTAAAACATGCTTCAAAATAAATAAAGTATAGACAGTCGGGAGAAAATAAATTATGTTTGAGAAATCTCAACATTACATGGACAGAGTTAGAATTCAATTTAAATCATCAAACTGCATATTACTGACAAACATAAGCTTTGAAGTTGTATCTGACAACAACATTCTATTGTGTGTGCAGTCACATGCATACACAAAAAAGAAGAGGCACTTCCCTCCCCTAACCACTGCAATCAGTCCACTTAGGCAGGCAGCAGTGAAAGTGTTAAATGCCTGATATGATTCAAAATGTCATGCAAACAGGTTCACACATTTTCTTTGACATAGTTTACTTATTATTTCAATGAATTATTCACTTGTTATCAAATATTTAATTATAGCAGTAACCATTTTAACCATACAGGGTGAAACAATACTATAACAATGTTCTCTGGCCATGTGCTGAGATCCCTTGACTATGATTTAATTATCTGGGTGTCTTTGTAAGTCCTGTTGATTTAAACAGGCCATCCCCTCTGGTACTAACACAAAGGAATTCCCAAATTTTAAACATACTAATTTACTTACCAAAGGTGGTGGTGGTTGAGTTGGTGTGACTGCCTGACTTGTCTCTCCTGGCTTGCTGCCCCATCCTGTACCACCACTAGGAACTAAACTTATGGCTGGATCGTTGCCACTATGTTCAGACTTCAGGCTTGGTAAATTGGCTGGAGGTCGTCGTGCTGACGGCACTTTACCCAGACTCTGCATGCCATGTTTGCGGGGTAATGTACTTTTCTGTTGATGTGGCTCCAAGGACTCTCCCTGAATCAAGGACACACAGTATTAAGGCGCCTGAGATATCTGAACATTAACTGTATAATACAATGCTTATAAAACATACAAAGCAATTTAATTAAAATACATCAGTACTATAAAAACGTTCACTCACCCTATACAAACTATTTATGTCGAGTGACTGAAACTTTGACTTTCCTTTCTCCCCCTTCGACGCAATCCCTGACAGAGTAGACATGCTGTCTGCAGGCAACCATTTAGATGAAACAGACCCGTGGAACGAACCCTATTGCTGTGAACACAATGTGTCAACACTTTCAAAGTAATATACAGCATCATATATTCCCTTTATCACATGTTACTCACTACACCAATCATATCAATTATCAGTGAGATAGCAATCATAATTAACAATGAATTTCCTCAAATGATAAGCAAAACTGTTTCCTATGATATATATGGGGCATCACCTCAAACAACGGAAGCAAATGAATGTGGCTTCAGTTTGATATTAGATCTGTAGAATGGATCAATTCAGAAGGGTTCTGACAATGGTGTAATACAATCTGTATTGTTCAGTTTTTGACCTTGTCTGCCTGATATTATAAAACACAATGTTTTGAGAAATGGATGTTGTCATCAGGTATTGTAAAGGGGGCACCTACTCTTTAGGGTCCATTAGATTGAGCTAATCCCAATCACTGAATAACCTAGTTCAGAACTACACATGTACAAGCACGTGAGACAAGGCGTATGTTGTAAGATTTCAGGTTTTCACAGTGGTGAGTATGAAGATTTCTGTCTTCTGGGTTGTTGCGCTGTGTAGTCTGGTCGATGTTAACCAGACTACACAGTGCAACCCAGAAGACAGAAATCTTCAAGGCTTATGTTGTTATCTTCCATTGATATAACTTGATCTCAAGTGTTCAGAAATCAACCCATTAATACAAATGCAACAATTTCACAACAGATGGATGGATTTTCATGAGAAGAGTTTTGCTAAAACTGCTCTGCCACCATTCACAAAGGCAAATTTCAGGAAAATGCACCAGAACTATTGTCATGTGCACATTTTGGCATTTGTAAAAATGATTCAGACTGAATACTAAGCCAGTATGTTGATCATAAAACTGTGATACAGCACACAAAAAGCTATTTTTATAATTATGATGGTACTATGAGGTATGAAAAAACAAGTGGCAATGAATCTAAAAAATTAAGGATCCTTCCTTCCACAGACAAATTGTGAAAGCTATATTAAACAAATTGTGAAAACAATTTTTTTATTCATATAACAAAGAGAATGTCATTTTTATCAATGTATCTACCATTCTTAATTATATTTACTACACCATCAGATTCATTTTCATATTTTAACAACATTAAGAAGAAGGCAAAACCGAATCATAAAATGTGTCATTTGAATATCTGTGAATGAAAGTAACAAGTCTAAATTCAATTTATGAAAAAATTAATTTGAGGACTGTGTTATATAATTAAATTTAGAACCCTTTGTATTTGTCTCCTATATAATGCAAGAAAATAAAATAAATCTATGACCACATTTTGAATGTGTATGAAAGTCTCCCACATTAGGGAAAACAGAGACAAAGGACATTTCAGAAAAGGGTGCTGAGGATACAATTTTAACCAAAAAGCAAGAAGGAACAAGAGGCTGGGAGAACTGGATAATGAAAAGCTGCCTAATTTCTTCTCTTCACCAACTACTGTTAAGGTGAATATGGATGGATAAAAACCCCCCACTAAATTCAGTCAGAAACACTTGGCAGACCCAGCTTAAATTGGAGGACAATATTAAATTAGATCTTAAGCAGTGTGTGATGTGAAGAGGATTCACAGAAAAGGCCAGTTGTGCTCTACTGAAAATACAAATGAAATTTCAGGTTCCATAAAAGGCAGGAATATGACTACCTGAATAAACAACCACCTTCTCAAGGATTCTGCTCCTCCTTGTGAACATGCACTAAACACATTTTTTTTCAATTAGTTTAAAAGTATCACAATGGGTATATGCTTGACATCCAGTGACTGCACCAAAAAATATGTAACTATGACACTAAAACACAAAGAAAAATGCTGAAGAGACTGGCCAAAATGTAAAAGTTAGCCATGTCCAACACACTTTAACTAAGCCTAATAATGAGCTAAATAATCTATCTCAAAGGGTAAACATTTCTTACTTCAAGACTATTGAACTGAATTTCAAAACAGCAGAACAGCCCACAGGAAACAAAAGGTATAGAGTATGCTTACATGTTATGGTTCACATACAATTTCGCAAATAATGTGTGATGTGTGATTTTGTACAGCTGCATAACACACTTCAAATAAACTTCTCACATTTATATTGTAAATGTCTGCCAAATATTAATTTTCACATGTGGATAACTGTACTGAAACACTGAAGCCTACTGTTACTTAACAAAGTTCTTTGATGGAAAGAATATAAACTTTTCGTATATCCTATATATTTGCACAAAAAAGTAAGGTAAAAACCTTGGAAAGGTCACGCAGCAACCCATTTTCTACTCTGCCACGCTATTATTTAAACCAAAGACCACACACTGTCCACAGAACACAAATGTCACTGTCAATCGAGGTTCATCATGCCCTACTTGGTAAAGTTTATTTAATTTCGATTAATTCTGTATTAAAAGTTAAATATAGTATGCCTCGTTTTCTTGCCATGCAAAACAAACATTCTTCAAATGTGATTTGTCCTTGTTCCCATCTACGAAATCTTCCATCACACACAAGCGCTTTAGGCTTTTAGCCTACACCCTAATTGACAGACCCCCTAATAAAATATACTAACGAACACATTATTTAATACGTAAATAACACTTGCAACAAAGTATATGCAATTAACTTCTAACTTATGATGGGAAACAATCACCACATAGTGTATATATGACCAACACATTAGCCTACTACGAAGTGATTGGTATTCGCTTATATGTATAATCCAACACGGAAAACTGTTATATCGTATAAATACATTTCACTGTAAAATTGTAACAACGTACCTTGGTCCGTCCAAATGGGTAAACAATAGACAAATGGAATTTAATCCCTTAGAATACAAACAGTAACAGATGGCTACAGATTCAAATTTTCCTTCTTTACAACCTCTATTTCACTATCTTCAAGATGGCGAATGCGACGGATGTCTCTTGCGATCAATACAATGACGTCATTCACAAAGTTCAGGAATACTGAAGATACTACACATCCAATACTGCAGTTCGAGTTTCTGCCTATCTTACCACAATGTAAAATGAATCACTGTCCTATAGCAACGTATAGAGGAGCGTCGAATTTCTGTGGATGCAACTCCTGAATTTAATGTTTAAGAACAAATGCCTTCGATGTATTATTACTGCAATAAAATTATCAGAGGACAAGTGAAATTCCTTTACCCGTAGTTGTTTAGCTCCACGGATCCCAGCATTCCATTTAGCATTAATAACTACAAATTCCTTGTTAAATTATTAAATATTGAAATATGTCCATTAAGCGATGTAAAATGCTATCTCTTTACTATATGCGTTATAAGATACAAAATATACGTATTTCTATAATTTCAATTTAATTAAGATGTATACTTGATTAAGCTGTTGCCAAGGTGACGTAGTGATGCCATTATGGCGGACTTATGTTGAAGGTGGTATGTGTATATAATATAATATAGTTTTTACTAAAATTACCGCACCTTATGATTATTCGAATTTTAATACATAGTCAACCCTCTGTAATGCAATATGGTAAGTGCCCAAGTGGTTAGAATAGAATTTATTTACATTCTATAGGTCCTTCATAGGCCTGAACAAGTCACAGCACAAATACAATACTTATTTCTAATACAAATATAAATTACATATTTATGACAATAATTTACAGTCAGTTACAGCAAAATTAATTACACAAGATAACGTAGCCACTATTGCTCACGTGCACTTACAATAGGGGAGAATTTTTGATTGAGGTAAATTTTTCCATGGTTCAAATATCTCATCTAATTATAATTATAATTACTTTAATTTAGGGTTATTAAGGTTGTAAACATCATGCAAGAAAATATTTCCTTGACTTACTTATTTTGATATGTATAAGAGTTAAAATTAGAGTTTATTTACATTTCATAGATATTTCTTTTAGCTAAACCAAAGCATGTAGAACATATCATTCAAGTACAAAACTTATTTCATATATAGATATACATATACTTGAGAATTTTCAATACAAGAACAAAACCTTAGTCACATATCTTCTTCTTCTTCTTCTTATAGCATTATAACCCTCTGTGGGTCTTAGCTTGTTCGATGAATTTTTTCCATTCTGTCCTATCATTCACAATTCTTCTCCATCCCCTTACTCCCATCATCCTCCTCCACGTCGTCTATCCATCGTTTCCGTGGTCTCCCTCTCATCCTTCTTCCCATCGGTCTCCATTCCATCACTCTTCTAGTTACCCTGTTTCCTTTCATTCTTGCAACATGGCCAAGCCAGGCTAACCTTTTGCTTTTGATCAGCCTCACAATATCTGCTCCCTGTATGATACAATCTAGTTCATGATTCATCCTAATTCTCCAGGAGCCATCACTATTCTGTATTGGACCATAGATTTTCCGTAATATTTTACGTTCAAAT